GGGAAAGAGAGGTGGGTGAAGATGGTAATTTAAGAGAGCCAATATGAGTGATAGGCAAGCAGTTACCATTACCAATGACTATATCATCAAACCCGTCATATGGTGAATGAAGTGCCAAATTTGCCAAATCTGTAGTAACATGATGAGAAGCACTGGAGTCCAAAATCCATTCGGAGGTTGAAGGGGACGCTATAGGATGAGTAGCAGTGTGAGCAATTGGAGGAGTGTAAGCGGGGCGCGAAGAGTGACGTGGTTGTTGTGGATTAGAAGTCCACGGCGAATATTTGAAAGACGGGCACCTTTTGGCGGAGTGCCCTTGTTGTTCACAGAGTTGGCAGCGACCAAGATAAGGCCTGGGACCCTGATTGTTAGTGTTGGGTGGTGGTCGAGGAGACCACGTGGTTGGTGGTGAATGAGGATGATTGTCGCAGAATGGGCCCGAAGATCGCTGCTGCGGCTGACCATGCGATGGCTGAAATGAGGGTCGAGACTGTGATGGAGGTCGTGTAGCAGCAAAGGCAGTTGTAGGAGTGGTAGGATGGGAGTTTGGTTTTGCTCCAAGCTGTGCCTCGTAATTGAGAAGTTTCTCATGAAGTTCTTCAAAAGAGATTGGGGTTTCTCGCGCTTGAATGGCGTCTGAGAGTTGCTTGTAATTCTCATCAAGACCATTGAGAATCTTCATGACGAGATCCTCAGAGTCAACAAAGACGTTCATAAGGGCAAGTGCATCTACATTAGTTTTGATGCCTTGTATATACTCAGTGATAGACTGAGTTCCTTTGATGGGATTAGTGAGCCGACCTTTGATATTAAGGATACGACCGCGAGTGGGTTTAGCATATGTGTTCTCAAGTGTTGTCCAAGCATCATAAGATGTTTTGGACCTAGCAATAAACGAGATGAGTGTCGGAATAAGCGAGCCGATGATGGCATTGAGGATTAATTGATCTTGACGAACCCAGTAGATATATTCCGGGTTAGGCATTGTGACGTCACCTTGTTGAATAGAAGATGGCGGACAAGGTTTGTTGCCATCAACAAATCCGAGAAGATCATAGCCGATGAAGAGTGTCTGAAATTGAAGACGCCATGCAGTGTAATTTGTGGACGTGAGTTTGAGTGGAGCTTGAGCGGAAACGTTGATGGAGATGAGAGTGGTGGTGTTGTCGAGCGGATTA